AAACGAGTGAGCTTGTGAACGAGTTAGTTTCTTAGCAACCGCTGCGCATGCTCAAAAAAAATTGTACACGATTTCTGCAGAGTCTCCTTTCCTTCTCCGCCCGTAGAGGAGTTAAAAGGAGACTCTGCTCGCAGGGTACAAAATTAATTGTACCTTGTACCTTGTACCCTTAAAATTAATTTCATGGTAAAACACTCATCCAGTTTAATGCAAAACAATACAGATTGGAAATCATGAATTCCAAAACTATATTGAAGGAATCAAAGTCCATCAAAATTTAAAAAACCAAGAGTCCAACCTTTTGGAAGAAGCACAAGAGTTGGAATCAATGGCATCCTATAATGCAATGCGATTCAACAATGAAGAAGAGGTGGAATTTCTGTTAGACAGGGCAGATAGCCTACGCAGTCAAGCTAATGACTTAGTGAGTAGATAAAATTATCTGTAATATGAGGCCAAAATGGTATTCTCTCATACTTTGAAAACTTCAATGTAAAACAAAACTCTTATTATTTCAATCCATAGTATACTACTGATATTCTTTTAATTAGAGGTCAATTTGCATAAAGTATATTGTGAAACACATTTCAGACACTACGTATGGCCTTGGTCTCTGTTCCAGTAATACCCAATGAGGATGGTCCCTGTGCGCAAGAACTAGCAAGAGTACTCAAGAAAATAGGGGCTGAAAGACAAGCCTACCATGGAGGTAGTTTCAATGGAAATCACACAAATAAATGTCTGAAGGTAATTAACAGTAATAAAAAGTAATAAAAATCAACTCATAAAAAATTATGATTTGATCTAGAAATGGCCTGGATGAAAATTACTCTGTGTAAATCTAGTGGCCCTATCAAATTGTGTAGTTCATTGTTAGTTTAGAAAAAAAAACAGCTAAAATCTGAACCAGTAAAATTGAAACTAAATTCAGAATGACAGTATTAAGAAAATACACTAACTCAAACTCTTAATTTCAGGTTACTAGTATAGATCAACTGAAATAAATACCTATCCTGGTATGCAGTCAATTGCTGAAAAAAGATGTGACAGAAGCTGATCTAATTTCTGACAAGTTYGGACAAGTTCTTCAAACCTTTGGCAAAGTACACAGAACTCTAAATAGCTCACGAAAGCTTGAAGAAAATGAAATAGCTGAGTTAGGCAATTATATCTTAAACTTGAACTTATATGTTGGAATAAAAATAAGATGTAAAAAATTCATTCTTAAATTTAATTTATGTTTTTACAGAACAAAATGTGTAATTGTTCATGAAGCTGTATAGAGCATTTTTTCCGCATGCATCAGTCCTACCCAAAATGCATTTTTTGGAAGATCATGCCCTTGAATGGGTAAGAAGATTCAACACAGGTCTTAGACTACTTGGGGAACAAGGTGCAGAATCCATTCATCACGAATTTAAAGAACTTTCCAGAACATATTCATGCATTAGGAACAAAGAAGAAAAGCTGAAATGTATGATAGAAGAGCATAACAGAAGATGCAACCCTGTTAATSGAGATCTAATTCCAGAAATCAAAAGAAGAAAGAAAAAAGAAGAATGAAACTTGGCAATGCTTCACTTTGGAAATGTGAGTAAGCTTATCAATTAAGTGGCACGCACATAGACACTAGTAGACACTACTGTAGATGACTTTTTTATAAATAGAGTCATGAAAATTTAATTAGAAAATCATATTGCCACCAATCCAAAAAATCTCAAATAATCGTTTTTTTGTCCGAAAACATAATTTGGGAAATGTGCAATGAACTACTTTGTTTATCTTATTTTACATACATGATGTAATACATCATCTGTAGATCACAAGCTTGGCATAATA